ACGTTTATTCGGAATTTATAAAATGCAACTGATAAACCAGTTTGTTTTCGTAAGAAAATTGAGAACGAATAATTTATCTTAAATGAATATTTGTGATATACAGTTTCTGTTTGAAATTTAAGCCAGTGAAATATTCAAAGTCACTCTTTAGTAAAATGAGGTTAAAACGAATGTGCAAAATCTATTTGAATGCGGATTCGTTCTTTCTTTTGGGAGGGGGCGACAATATTTTTTATTCACTTGTTTTCTACAGGTTATAACTTTTCGCAGGTTATTTAAAGACAGCAAATATTTTTTTGAGAGAATAATGATTTACTAATACAAGTCCTACTAATTAACCCATAGCTGATGGAAGAAGTGGTGGATTCATACTTTCCCATGTGTATTTGCACGTTAGTGTATAAAAAAGCTGACTGGAATTGGAACTCGGCTCTCTTCCACTACCGGACAGTTATCCATTATATCAACCGCACAGCCATGCTTACTGCACCTGGTATTCTCAAGCTGTCACCCATCTTTCTGACCAAGCTCGACGTTGCTTAACTTCATTGACCGTGCAGAACCGGTGTTTCAACATTTTATAGCCATAAGCCCTATACAGCATTCTAACTTCCGATCTTTCAACACATGGTATTTTCAATAAAAGTGAAATGGAAAACAGTGGAAGTGTAAAAAATGTCGGTTAGTGTAACTTTTGTGACGTACGGTGGCCGTTAAGTATAACTCAAGACTTTAATGTTAAATAAAACAGTATTTAATTACAACCGCAAATAAATACTTAACAAGAACAAAGAAGTAAAAATCAACCAAAGATAATTAACCATTTCACTGAAGACCTTGTTAGTAGCGCGGCTCGGCAAATGTCCGACAAATTCTAAATCAAAACCCAAATCATCGACGCACATTAATTCACACTAATTCGACTGGATAGTTCCACTCAATAGTCACTTAATAATCACTCCAGTAGCCTGACACCGCTATTTATACACCTGGCAGAAAACATATATTCATAAGTCCAGAATGTCACGCTCAAACCTCGGTGTCGGTAGTTATTCATTTTCTCCCTATATGACACCTCCCCTTTTTGAGATGACATCTCTGGAGTCTATATCTCTTCAGTTTGGGTTCAATATCCAAGTGTTCCGTTGCTATTCTTTTTCTTTTACTGTACCTCCTTGATTTACTAATTTTTGGTGGCGTGGGTACGTCAAACATCTCATACAATATTTCCATTGGTACCTCTTTTCGTGATCTTACTAAATCAGTTAATTTCCGTTTTAACTGATTAATGTGTCACTTTTGTCCCTGTACCATATACGTCATTTTTCCAATCCGTTTTTTTTTATCACGCCGTCTTCCCAGAATTCTTTTCTACGTTGGTACGTTTTAAAAAACACTTTACCACCAGGTTTGAAATATTTATTTATATTAATTTGATGTTCTCGATTTCCATTCTGGTAGTAATTTGTTAAATACGGGCTTAATCTTCCTGGTGAACATCAGTTCTGCCGGCGACATTCCAGACACGGTGTTCGGTTGGGCGTTATTTTGAAAACGCTCAGAAATTGCTGTAACATTACTTCATCTGCATCTTCTCCCTCCGACTTTTTTTAGTGCCATTTTAAAAGTATCAACAAACCGTTCAGCTTGTCCGTTACTTTTTGGGTGATAAAGAAACGTTGTAATATCTTCTATTGTTAATGATTTACAGAAATTTTTTCAGCTGCTATGACTCTGTTGAGACCAAGAGGACAAAAAAAGGAACTCAAGGATAGCCCGTTTCACGAGATGGGAATTGTGTGCCGTTGTCTGTAATAATAGTGTTGGGTACACCGAATCTTTCAAAAATCTTGTGTAAGAAATGTATAGTGACTGTGGTTGTCGGTTTTCTACATTTTAATATTTCGCTGCTAGAGCGCAACCTCTGCTTGATTTTACTAAATTTTGAACGTCTTGGTCCATTTTCGGCCAATACGTATAACACCTCATTAAGGATTTCATCCTTGAAATTCCTGAATGCTCTACGTGAAATTCTTTTAGCATACGTTTTTGAAACGGTGACGGTATCACAAGTCTTTCTGCGTACATAAGTACATTGTCACATATTGAAAATGAATCTGTTGCAGCAATATTTTTATTTTTTTCTTGAAATCTCAGTTGTTTCTTCATTTTCATTATAAAGTCGTTTTTCCCGCTTTAAATCTTATTTCCTCTAATGTTACAGACAGTTCTTTCGCTGTTTTATTTGACACATTCTTAATTTCATTTTCAGCCTTTATCGCTGCATTTATTGTGTTCTGTAGTGGTTCGCAGAATTTTGGTATTAATCTAGACAGTCCGTCCGCATGACTCAATTTTTTGAATAGTAGAAACTCCATTTTATAATTGTAGTTTAATAAGATAGTACCCCAGCGCTGCAGTCTATTTGCTGTCTGTAGTGTAAACTGTCTACCATGTATAAACTTGTGAAACGTTTTGTAGAAAATATGATAGCCAATACTTCCTTTTCAATCTGGCTGTAATTTTTTCAGCTGCTATTAACGATCTTGAAGCATGAGATATTGGTTTAGTTGTTCCGTCCTCATATTTGTGTAGTGTCACCGCTCCAATACCCAACTCACTTGTATCTGCTGCAACCACAATCTCTAATTTAGGGTCAAAATGATCTAGCGACAAGTCCGACGTTAGGATGTTTTTGATCTCTTCGAAAACACTTTGACATTTATCTGACTAATCCCATTTAACGTCTTTCTTTAGTAAGATATTCAATGGTACTGTTAATTTATGCATGTTTGGTACATACACATGGCAGTAATTAGCTAACCCTAAAAATGCTTGTAAATTTGATACATTTGTTGGGGTGGGCATGTCCCTTATTGCACTCGCCCTTGAAGGATCTGGTTGTCTTCCGTTCGCGTCGATAATTTGCCCTAGGTATTTCACTCTATTCATAAATAGTTCACACTTTTCTTAACTGATGTTAAAACCATAGTTTTTAATTCCCTCAAAATATTTTTTCACATCTTCCGTATGTTGGTTTCGGGTTTCACTTTTTATAAGAACATCATTCAAATATGCTTATGCACAATCCAAACCGGCAAGCATTGTATCCATAATCGATATTTATTATGTAAAAAAAATACATAATTTTGGCACAAGGCCAAAGGGGAAGTGGGGAAAGGCTGGTCATCATTAACTATCTTAGTCCTAATTAATCACAAGCGCAACCCATTTATCCAATACAATTTCTCCATTTACCAGAAGAACTCATCCTTCGCCATTCAGTCCTACAAACACCCCATGATATAAAGATATTGAAATGGCTCTAAATGTTTTCCCCCTTTTTTCCCTTTTTTTTTTCTATAAAAATAGATAAAAATTTATTAAAACATGAAATGAGGCGGAGAGGGGATGAACCCAGTAAAGTAACAAAAGATTAAAATAAAACAAACTAAAACACAACTGATGTTACTAGGACCTGTCCACCCTTCAAAATAATGAGAGTGGTCGCTGTATCCTGTTGATAAACAGAAACAAGAAGCAAACTCACTAATGGGGAGGGAAGGGTAAAAATAAATGACGGAACGGGAAAATCAAATTCTGACCCAGCCAAGATGAGAAAAAAGGGGACAAAAACAAACTGGGGAGCTTGGGAATCTCGACATAGGTCATAACAAAAGAACAGGCCAGGAGCATCACTTATTCACATTAACTAGGAAAACAAATAGTGCCTGGCTTAACCGGGGGAGGGATCACAGGAAACCGCTCTGTTGGGACCAAGAGGACAAAAAAGGAACTCAAGGATAGCCCGTTTCACACGAACCAACCTCGCTACTTTCATTCCCCTTTTGCTAAAATCTGTCGATACCAAGCGCTTTCTATCAGTTCTGATCGTCATCTTCAGCTGAAAGAATCCGACCAGAGCCTCATGAGAATAGCGTTCGTATCGAAAGATTCCCTCCATTCGCGTCGCCCAAATCACCATTCTTGTCACGGCTATCAGAAACACCATTCGTTTCTCCCCAGAATACGGGGACGACACATTATCGCAGACGTATGCGAGATTGATGAGCACGAGCCTATCGGGAGCGATACAAACGGTCAACTCGCCGACATAGTCCCAGAATAGGCGTACCTGAGGACAATGGCAGTAGGCGTGTGATACCGTTTCTTCTAAACCAAAGTCACACCTTTTCGAATCAATCGCCAGGTAAGCGAAAACTCGGGGTTACTGAAGTAATGCGCTGCTAGCGCCCAAGACCAGAAAGAGCGCAATTCGGCCACCGACAAGCCGAAACGCCCACAAAGTGGATACTTCGCGATCCCTTCCACTAAGTCACAAGACCCTCTGAGGCCGTGAAAGGTCAGTGGAGCGAGGAACGACCTTCAAGGTCACTCTACACTCGTCGAGGAAAGTCGATAGTTTCCCGGACCTACGATGGCGCTTAGCACAGGATATAGGAGGGATGGCGTCCCTAACACTCCCCTCCAAAATCGAATCCTCTGTCAAAACACGGCGTAGGAAAGCCAACCGCGAGGTGTATCGATGACTCATCAAGCCCCCACCCCCATTACACGGACGCTGGACACAAGCTTCTTTGTGGACCTTCTGCTTGCGACTATCCCACAAGAGGGTAGACAGCAAGCGCCCTATCACCTTTCTGCGATCCTTGCAAAGATGAAGTACAGCCAAGCGGTAAAAGATGAGAGGAAATACGTAAGTGGCACACGACTCAGTCCTCCTATTCAAGGACAACCTTCTTCCGAGTCAAGTCCCGAACGACGCTCCGATCTTTGCCTGTACTTCTGACCAATTTTTCTCTAGCAGGTGGTCGGGTCTAATCCACACACCAAGAATAAATATTTCAAATGTTAGAATTGTAGTGAAGGCAACCATAGTAGTCTACCTTTTGAACTATTCGACTATAAAAGAAATGGTCGAAACTCACTTATGGGCTGTAGTCAAACTGCATTGAATAAAGCTTCACATAAACGTGAGCTTACGGCCACATCACGTGGAAACACTGATTCTCTTACGATCACCGAAGTTAAGCAAAGCTGAACCTGGTCGAGTACCTAGATGGGTGACCGTCTGGAATATCAGGTGCTGAAAGCTTGGGTGTGTGGACGGCGTAATGGATAATAACAGAATTATTAATCGGAGAGTCGAGTCCCAATTCCTGTTGGGTTCGTTATATTCAAATACCCTTGGGGAAGGTATGAATACACCTCTTCTCCCCCAGTTATGGGTTAATTAGTAAGTCTTGTATCGCTAAATCATTTTATCTCCAAAAATTCTTACAATCTAAATATTTTCTGGCTTTAAATAACCTGCAAAGTGTTGATAAACCGTAGAAAACGAATCAGTGAATCAATGAAATACGAGCATGTCTTTTATATTTATTTACATATTCAAGAATATAAATGTATAGAAATAACATGATCACAAAGTGAGGGATAAGTTTATATATTGATTGCAATAGATAATTAATCCCCCACTTTGTATTCACATTATAATTTATTGTTTATCAAATTCTGATTAGGTACGAATCCACCGTTTCTCCCCCAGATATAGGTTAATTAGTAAGACTTGTATCACTAAAATATTATTATCTCCAAAAATGGTGTGGGTGAATTCTTACAGTCTAAAATATTTTCTGGCTTTAATAACCTGCAAAGGATTGTTAAGCTGTAGAAAACGAATCAATCAAGCTTAAATGTTCGTCTGTTTTTCTTTACAAGAGCACTAACAGTTTTGTGTAGAAAGCTGAATCTAGAATATACAATGTATCCAAAAAAGTATACACATTTTTGAATGTTTATGAATACACTATCCAATGAGCGATAAGGCGGGGCTAATAGAAGACAAGAAGAAGCTAAAGAAAAAAGTTCTAAAAATCGAATGAACCTAAGGAAAAAAAATAGAGAAGAAAAAACAAGGAGAAAGACAGAAATATTTTTTACAGTAAGGTTCACTCTGTACAAGGCCAAAGAACCACTCGAGTTAAAGGGTTACATTAGGAGACAATTTGTGAAGATGGGGTGGGGCGGAGATAACGGTTAACCCAAACCTAGAACAGGTTAAGATTGTAGTGACCGGCGAAGCATCCTCTTTGGTGTCGGTTTTTACTTCTCACCGATGCAATATGGAAGGAATGTGGGTTGTTTGCTACTATGTAAGTGGTATGGTGTGTCCTTGCCCTGAAGGTTAGAACTGGCGGGCCCATGGAATGTAGTTTTCTGGGCACTTTTCGTAGAAGTAGCAATAGAGAAGCAACAGACTTGTCACATCCCGCCTATGAGAGAGAGAATTATACGTCACCCACAAGGGTTCTGAAACTCTTTTGGACTCAAGGTTGGAGAATGAGTTCCGGATAGCTCCCGCCCAAATATGACAACAATACTCCATTTTTGGCCTGATCTGGCTCTTGTAAAGGTAGAGGATGGTATAAAGTACAGGGAGTCGACAATTTTACCTGCGTCCTTAGCAATGGATCGTACGTACGAATCCCACTTGAGGTCAGGTGCGATTTTGAGGCCCAATAGTCATTCAAGGTATGGTACCTTAAAAGACGAGAAAACAAAAGAAAAAAAAATAAGAGGGAAATTAAATGGAGAAGAAAGGAAATGAACGGGACATTATCATATTTATTAATAACTGGTAGTAGAGCCCGGCTTTGCCCAGGGATGTAACAGTAAGAGACAGACCAAGTATCGACCATCATAAAGACTGAAAAATAAAATTGACAAAGATTATTGTTTAAGGTTGACAGACACGCATGTCTTAATTAGTTTTTTTTTTTTGTTTTTTTTTACGAATTGGTCAAACCCAAACTCAAACAAAAACATTGTTTTCAATCGTTATGAGTCTACCGATTGAATAGAATTTTATTAAAACAATTGTCTTGTAAATGGAATTTTTAAAGAATTCTGAATGTAAAAATAAAGTAAAATGTGTGCAAGACAATAAGAAACACTACCTGCCAAAAAAAGTGAAGTTTTGTTGAAATCGGTTGAAAAATGTAGGAAATCCGATCCCATATATAAGCGAACACACACACACAACCAACCTGGGTTTTATAAGTATAACTCAATATGAGTTGTCCCCCTTTCATTCTCGCGATGCCTCTTAATCGTGTTTTCAAATTGATTTCGTGCAAAAACAATTGTGTTTTTCCAATTTTTGGCGCTGTCGGAACCACCGCAATGTAATTTTGCGTAGTCCTGTGAAGTTTTGTTGAAATCGGTTGAAAAATGTAGGAAATCCGATCCAATATATAAACGTTTATAATAAGTATGATACACTATCCATTAAACTTTGCAGTGATGCTAAGCGAAGACGAACCCAACGAAAGAAATAAAGGACCGAAAAAAATAAAGAATAAAAAAAAGAGTAAAAAAATCACCCCCACAAAGCAAAACAAAAAAACAAAACAAAAACAAAAGCCCCCACCAAAAAAAGACAAGATAAACTACAGAGAAAAAAGAATCGAGAAGAAGAATAGAAAGAAAAAAAAGAAAAGAAAAAATACGAAGAAAAAGAAAATAACAAAAGGAAAGAAAGAACGAAAACGAAAAATAACGACAGAAAGAAAATGAAACAAAGAAAGACAATAGAAGAAAGAAAGAAAACGAAGAAAAAATTTTAAAAAAAATGGAAGAAAACAGAAGAGAAAGAAACGAAACGAAAAAAAAAAGAGAGTCGAAGGAAAGAATGAACATGATGTAATGGAATAACCTGTTACCCCCATGAGTGACTATACTATAGGTAGTAACTGCTTATAAGTATCTGTAAGTCAACGGACTACAGAGACTAATTGGGATCTGTTACTCAGCTCTTAGCTGTTGTCGAACTCTCTACCTTCGGGCAGAGAGGAATCCGGACGAGGCTATGCCGAAAGGTAGAGTCTCGTCCGGGGAGGTAGACAGACTCGAACCCGTTTATGCGGTGTTTACGGCGAATTTTTGGCCGAGCCTAGGGGCCCCACATTACATTCGGCCTTGTGTCACATCCTACCCCATGGGGAGGTTGATAAATATTACTAGCTGGGATCTGTTGAGTACGACTCAGACTTATGCGAGAACTACCCACCTTCCAATAGTAGCACTCACTACTGGATTGACTTGCGACGACCTTGTGCATAACTGTTATCTTTATTCTTATTGCATTGGTTTTTACAATAACCCTTTACTTTTAATCCACCGTGTTTTTCAAGTATATATTCCTATTAGCACGGAATATAACAGAACCGAAAAGAAAGACAGGAATAAGACGGAAAAGAAAGTGGACGGGGCATTTATGTTTAATACACTATCTATTAAACTTAAAAACTAAGCGAAACTAAGCGAAGACGAAAACGAAAGAAATAACGAAAGGACCGAAAAAAGACAGTTAAAAAATCCCTCCCTCCAAAAAATAACAAAAGACGAGAAGATAAAAGACAGAAAAAAAAAGAATCGAGAAAGACAAAAAGAAAAATTAAAATTAAAAAAAAAGACGAAGCAAAAAAAGAAAATAACGAAAGAAAAGAAAGAAAGACGGTGAAGAAAAAAGAAAGAAAATGAGGGATAAAGAAAGAAACGAAAAAGAAAAGAGAGAAGACGAAAAACAAAGAATGAACTGAAGAGAAAGACAGAAATAAGACGGAATAGAAAGTGGACAGGACATGGCATTTAAGACTAATAGTATTATGTCGAAATTACTGTCACTTGTGTTTGTTGGTTTTGTTATACTAAAGTAATTGACTATAGAAAAATTAAGTGAACCCTACTTTGATTAGAATGTGTAGGTAAACACGAAAACAACATACCTACCTACCTATTAATGCTGAATCAGTCAGATAAAACTGTAACAGGGTGCGATGAGCAAATTGTCGCCATTTTATATTTTTAATTTCGCGCATGCGCCTTGTTTGTCTTTGATTTTGTTGACTGCACAGTATATTAGGATCAGTTGAGTACCGTCTGTGAGAAAAAGAGCACCATGACGCAATTCACTCTGCCATTTACATTATTTACATTATTTGGACTGTTGTCCTCATCCTTATTGCCATATTCGCCAGGTAATTGGAATTTTGAACCACCGATGTAGATTGTTCTTGTTTCGTGTTCTAGTTCGTCTATTTGGTCCACATGCCATGTCATGCCATGATATGCCTCTTCTTCTAGATGTCTCAGTTATCTCCCTCTCTCTGTTGCAGTAACCAGGAACTCACAAGTCTTTGGGTTAAGTCAACTCACAACTCTTTGGGTCAAGTCACTGGATCCAACCAACGCTTTTATCCATTGGGCCATGTGTCCTTGTGGACATCAGTGTATAAATTTTGGGGACTTATAAACTTAATGTCTCATACAATTTTTACCAGAACTCATATTGCAATTTTGTTGTTATTGCTTTTCTCCATCACTCCGTATTACTGGTTCCTATATTGTATTCATTTCTAATTTAGCCGATTAAACCATTTTTGTGATAGTCAGTATATGTGTTGATTTCTTAAGTTTTCGTATTTTCCATTGATGTTTTCTGTCTATTAATTCAACGTCATTCCACAAGGATTGGTGATCTCTCTTTTTCCTTCAGCTATGCCTGATTTTTCTATTTTAAAATCGTGTTTGGCTTTTCGATGTTCTTGCAGTTTTCAAAGGAGGGGCCTTTTTTCTCCTTTTATTATCACCACAGTTGTTTGATTGAAGATATGAAATTAAATACACACACACAGATACACATTCAGGCACAAACACATCATGACATAATTACAACACAAAACAATTTTAAAACCATATGATATATGTGTCATGAACCGTTTATTAACAATATTTTTCTGTTATCAATGTGCTGATTGGGACTCGGTTTGGGACTTTTTTCATGATGTCCATGGAATGATATTTTTATCCACCCTGTTCATAAATGTAAACTGATGTCTCTTTCCTTTTAAAAGCCGGCATTTTTTTTTCAGTTTTCAGCAAAAAAATGTTGTAAAACAACAATCATCTCCTTGGTTCTCACCTGCCTGCTCAACCGCTGTAACCCACAGGAATCACTTCTTTCATCTATACCAGAGTGACAGGTCTGATTGTAACAGACATATTATTTTTGAGTACAATGAGTACAAT